AATTAATTAAACCAAAATACTAATATTCTTAAAAAAAGAAAACTGAAAATCTAAAAACAAGTTTAATTTAAAATGTAAATGAAAACAAATTGAATGTGAAAAAGTGGTATAATACTCTATAAAGGTAAACATCATAAGCATATCCATTATGCGTCCATATTATGAGAATTTTGAATTTTGTTATTAAAGTTAAAAAAGTTAAATTATTGAAAATGTTAATTTATTCAATTAATAACATTAACATTTATACAGATAATGTATTTTGTGTGTGTGTGTATATATATATATATATATATGAATATATATATATATGAATATATGTTCAAAGAAAATTTCAAATTGAAATTTGGCAACTAACCGAAATAAGTTGAAGCACTAAAACTACTAACTACTACTACAAAAAAAATAAAATTAAACAAAATCAGACAAAATAAATTTAAATCAAATTTGTATTGAATGTGTAATTCAAGTTTATATTAATATAAACATTGATAGTAGATTCTGCTAAAAAACACTGGTTAATGAGTTGCAGTTTTCACTCACACATGGAGCGCATCAGCGCATGCAGTTCAACACACAATAGTGTGAATTTCCTGTCAGCGCTTATTTCAGTCACTTTGAAATTGTGTCTAGAAAACTGTTAAACAGACATAGCCTACTATATGAAAGCATGAAAGTAGCTGCATTTATTTCTGAGCAATGAAACACCATCTTCCTATAGTTTGGTTTTCCTGATCTCAGTATGAGGAGGAGTGAATGTCTTCCATTTATGTCTACTGAGGATGTGTTTGGCCTGTTGAGCTGGTATTTTTTCAGCATCAGCTGATCTGAGCACAGTGAAGTGATCTTAGGGAAGTGTAACTTCTGCTTTTCTTGTGATTAGCAGGCAGACAGCACCCTCTCACTGCCAGCAGCAGAGGAGAAACCAGAGGAGCTTTCAGCCTCAGACCGAGAAGATGAACTCGACAAGGATTCAGGGTCAAAGGTTAGAGCCAAGTAGCTTGAAAAAACAATACCTGTTTTTTTAAAACTGATCACACGCTCTTTAAGATGTTTCTGTTGCTCTGTCTGAAATGGAACTAACTTGAATGATTTAGAGCAAGCTTCTCTTAGTTGTCATAAAAGCACTAGAACATAGAAGGGTCATAGGCATTTCTGTATGTATTATTTACACACTTTAAAAAAACACACACAAAAAATGCATTTCGAACAGACAATGGCTTTAATATACCTTTTGTGATTTAACATTATTAAAATATTTTAATTAAAACTGAATTTGATGTTTTATCCTGGGCTTAAAGTAAATAGGAGGCTTTACCATCCAGAAAGAAAAATAATAATAATAAAGACATAATATATAATATTATAATCATAATCTCAATCATAATATTTATACAATATTATTTTATAAATATTATATTCAATCATATAATATTATTTCATATTTAAAATTATAATTATAAATTGTAAAAAACAAATTATAAAGTAATTTTATAAAATACATTTACATCCAGCTAATTAGATGCCAAGACCTATGTATATATATAATCACAAAGTACACAAAAAGGCCTGCACTCTAAAAAATATTATATTATGTATTTAAAAACAACAGGTGAAGCTGTTTTTTAAATAAAAAAGTGAAAAGTAAAAAAATGTTTTTAATGCAAAATTAAAGTTTTGTCAGCATTCAAGAAGGCATTTTGTTTTCACGTCACATAAACAGGAAATGACATGACAAGGAGGCCCACTGTTGACCCTCATGACTGTGTCAAGCCTTTTTTAGTATTCAGATTTAAGTTTAGCTAAACACTGAGAATACTTCATGGTATTATTTAAAAGAAATGGTATTTCTTGAAAACATGTTTGCAACATTTTTGAAAATCATGATTAGCATAAGCAATCAATTTCTTAGCAATCAATCAATGCACATGCATCTGATTTTTTTCCTCAATATTTTTTATTTTTAATTATTTGTCAATTGTCATTGCTCTTATTTGTACGTCCCTACTTATCATTCACCCAAAAGCTGACACAATAATTCAGGAGCTCCTAAACAATCTTCTATGATATCTGTAATACTAGGACTAACCAAAAGGTGGCGCCAGGTAAATAGCTGGATTTTTGAAAGGCCTTATTTCAGCCAGGGGTGACAGCATGAAAGACACATTCATTTACATTTGAATGAAGCTTTCTGTTCTTGTGCAAAACAGCAACATGCTCCTCCTCATTATAGAGAAAATGATCATCTGTGCTCTGCGAACATTTGTATGCAGATTAACCTGAGATGCGGCTAGTTAAAGGCCAATAGCGTAATGTTAAAACATAAGATTTTTGTTTTATTTTATTTTATTTAAGTACAAGTAATATAAGTAAATATTGAGTCTTATATTTTGCTCTTAGAGCTTTAAAACATTAAGTGTTTTGTTTTGCATTAAAGCTTCCTCTTTCAACCGCACCACTTGCAAACTGTTTAAGTGGAAAAGATTCACACTTGAAAGCTCTTCACGCCTGAAAGCTCTTTCCAAGAAGCGAGACGAAACTGACTAGTCCTTCATAGGAATTATTCATATGATGCATTGAAGCTGAAATCATCTGCATAAAATGTGATATTTTTAATATTCTACAATGCAGCGAATCTCTTTCATTGACGTATTCATTACTGCATTCCGGTTTCACTACTGTGATTATTTGTCACCAGTCTGGTTGATCTCCACATGGAAAAATAATCATCTTACATGCAATTATTCAGTCACTCACCCCGCGCCTTTCATTCTTCTTTCAAAAGGAAACATGTCTGGCTTGGTTCCTATTTAAGCACAGGTAAACAAATATTGCACGCAGTTTTAGGAAAAGAGACCTTGTTAGTGTAGCCTATATGAAAGAGTGCAAGTGTTTTCCCACTGTCTCGGACACTCTACAGCTGTCCTGCAAACAATTAGCCATCACGTGCGCTGAAAAAATCACCCAAACGCTCCATTTTCCCTCACATTAATCAGTCTGACTGACACTTCAGTACATTAAGAGAAATTGACCATCGCTTTGGCTCACAAAACTAGTGGCTTCTGGTAAAACGGCATACAATAAAAAAAAACAAAAGGCGTAGTTAAGAGCAATTTGGTGCTCATTGGAGCCAATAATTCACCTCTGGCGAGTTTTAAGTGGGTTTTTTATGGTTGTGTGACCTGTCAAGAGAGCAAATTGGAGGAATTATCCTTTGTTTTTACTGTTCTCCCATCTCAACGAGCTGATTTGTTGTGCTTTTGAGGTAAACGTCCCTGGAAGTTTTGTTTCTGGTATTCAGTGTGAGTCTGTGTACTGACAAACAGAGCAGCATTATGGGTGTTTCCTGTATTCGCTGTGTTGACTGCATCTATATGTGTGTACTGAGGACTTTGTGGTCTGTTTGCGTTGTTTATTTGCTACCAGAGTTCGTTCATTCTTCTCAGCGCTGGGTTCCCCTCCACTCATACCGCAACTACAGAACAGGAAGAGGAACTGCATGACTGCCAAACCACAACGGCCACTCTAGTGTGTCACTTTATTTACGTTACTAACTGTACAGTTTCCCACAGACTCCTCCGAGCTCCAGGTGATACTGACAGGTGGTTTTGTGAGTGATTTTGTGAATCATATCATATCGTGTTCCTTTCCCAGAGTGAATCCGAGCAGGGTGAGGAGTGTGGAGGAAGTTTGGGATTCACCGCTGTGGCTGTGAGTGTAATAACACACTGTTAAAACAGTTTAATCAAAACACACATTATAAGAAACATTTATCATGTTATATTTACAGCAGAATACCGTTTCTTACTGTAGTTACTGTTACTACAATAAACTATGGTTTTAATCTCCACTGTCATCAAAAGCATTTAAACAACAGAAAGAGTCTTAGACTGTCTGACGCAGATCTTATATTAATTCATCATAATTTGACAGTGGTTATTTTGTGCCCTGATTAAGAAACTTAAAATCAAGTTATTCCAGGGTCTCTCTTTAAGAAGTATTGTAAGTTGCTTTAGATAAAAACATCTTCTAAATGACTATTTACTTACTATATGGAATCAAATTTACCATGGTAAATATTTGGGATTGTGTGGACTTTATGAAACTGGTATGAAGGCATTTGCTAAGAAAATATAAGAAACTGTTCAAATGTGGTCTTTTTTTTGTGTTTTTTTTGAAAGAAACAAATGCATACTTTTATTCACTAAGGTCACATTAAATTGATCAAGCATACAATAAAGACATTTATAATGTTACATAAGACTTTTATTTCAATTAAATGTTCTTTTGAACAGAAAATTCAAAAGAACATTTATTTATTTCAAATAAATGTTCTTTTGAATTTTCTGTTCATAAAAGAAGCATAAAAAAATGATCACAGATTCCACAAAAATATTAAGCAGCAAAAAGCACCAATAATAATTGATAAAATTCAACTTTACTATAAGAAATTACATTTTAAAATATATTCAAGTACAAAACTGTTATTTTAAAATGTAATATCATTTCACAGTATTACTGTTTTTAGTGTATTTTCTACTCAAATAAATGCAGCCTTGCTGAACATAAGAGAATTCTTTCAAAAGATTAAAAAATCTTAACTTTTGACCGGTAGTGTATATATATATATAAATATACTATTTATTTATAAGTAAGGAAAAAAATAACTAGCAAAGGCAGCTTGGGTCGTTTCTGCTTTTATCCAACAGTTCAATAAACAGTAAGTTAAAACTGAGTAACTTACAGGTACTTCTAAACAAAGCCACAGCAGAAACACTGCAACACCGAACAACACACAATAGTGGTGCTTCATTCCTAAACCATGCAGTGTTTTGAAGCAATCGGGTTGAATTACTGATTCAATGACTCACTCATAAAGACAGTCACTTGTCGCCACCTACTAGAGAAATGATCTAATGCACAGACCGGATTCAGGTTTGAGGACTGGAACTAGCTGCTGTATAATAAGAAATATTTTTTAAAAATGTAGTGAAAAATGTAAGAGTTTATTGCTGTAGAATTACAATGACTCGCCATGTCTGCATTATAATAATCTCTTTATTGTGTATCTTGTATCCCTGATCTTCTGCATAGCTACTACAACTGATCTGTTCTCTGTCATACAAACAGAGCCAAAAAGAACAGCATGGTGAAATCATGCCTGCCAGCATACAGCTTCTGTATGTGACCTCGGGTCTCTGAACAAATATAACTTGGAGGGGGCGAGAGAGAGAGAGAAAGAGAGGACCGGGAAAATTAAAGAAAGTGCACAAGAAAGAGAGAGGATGCATCCGGCACGTCTACGGCCAAGAATTCCTTTTAATTCAAAACTGAGTTCTCAGGATTCCTGTTGAATTGCTCACTCGCTCAGAAGTGACAGCACATAGTTTAAGAGCGTCATCATCCTTGAAGGCCAGTGCAGTTTACCATCAGCTAAATCTACACTCGAGGTACTGATGATTCTCAGCTTTGTGGTTCATGGCTGACTCATCTCCCCTCAATCAATCTTCACACA